TTTTATTAAATAAAAAAATTAAATTTATTAAAAGCAAATGAAAAAAATCCATTTTATGACAATAATGGAATATATTAACACTTTTAAACTCAGCACCTGTTAATTTTTATGTGCTCTCAAAATAAATAATAAAAAATAAAATAATAAAAAATATTATACGTAGAATGCACAAGTTACAAAACAGTAACAATCGGACGAGAAAACTGCAAAAAAGAGCGGACTAGAAAGTAATAATAAAAAAGAAGGCATTCATGGCATTCAAGTTGTTAGGAGGGGGAGCAGAAGTAAAGTCAGGAACGAGCGCCTTTTCCCTTCTACTACGTCCTTTTCCTCTTTCTTCTCCTTTTCAAAAAGCACCATTCTCTAAACCAAAACCTAAAACTATTCCCATAGATTCTCCTTCATCTTCTCTCTTTGCTGCTGGAAGAATCTTTCAAGGATGTGCAAGTTTTATTAGCTTAAATCTTCAGTCCTCTCTGCTTCAGTTGTGCGAGCGCTGGGTTTTATTCGAACTGTAAGTGCTGTAATTTTTATCTTTTTAGCCTACATTCCTCTTTGCTTCATCTGGGTTTTCATTTTCTTTTGTTTTCTGTTATTGGGTGTTTGGAAACTTGAGGGTTTGTTTTGAGGTCTTGGTTTTAAACAAACTGTAAGTGCTGTAATTTTCATTTTTTTAGTCTACATTCCTCTTTCTTCATCTGGGTTTTCATTTTCTTTTGTTTTCTGTTCTTGGGTGTTTGGAAATTTGAGGGTTTTTCTGATTTTTTGATTTACCCTTTAGCAAATTTTCAGTTTTGATGTTGTTGTTGTTGTCTATTTATTTATTTTTTTCAGTGTATTGCTTTAATTTTTGGAATATAGGATAGAGGAGTAAAATATTTGCAGCTGCATTTTCCTTTGGTTGAATTTGGTCATTGATAGATGGAGACTTGTTGCGGGAAAGAATGTAAACGTGGGTGGGGATAGTTTGAATTTAGTTGAAAGTTGGTGTTAGGTGAGGCGGCTCTTATGAGCAAGAATAAACAGTTGGTGTTGGAACTTTCTGAAATCGGAAGTGGTTGATGGCCAAACTTTGGTGGAATTTACTGCATGTTGATGATGTGCATTCTCCCCTCCTAAGAAAGTCATTAATGGGATTTTGGATTTCTGAAAGTCTGCCTTAATGTTTTGGAGATAATTTCAATTGATCAGTGGCTTCACATACTTGTTGACGGTAACTTTTATTATTCTTCCATTTGCTCCTTTTTTTTTCTTTTATTGTTTATTGGTTATTCATTTATCAACTTCTGGCTTCCGGTTGTCTTTATAAGCTTGAAGTTTAATCCTCAATTTTCTTGTTTCCTGCTTTTTGGTTGTATCATTTCAGTTTTGTTATTCAAATACAACTTACTCTTCTTGTGTAATTAGTAGGATTTAGATTTTTCTGGGCTTTTTTCATTATTCATATGTTCTGATGTGAATGGAAAGCTAAGTTTACAAATCATGAAAATGTGTAATAATGAAATGTTAAATTTTTATTTCTTTTAAGATCTATAAATGACAGATGACAAGAATCAATTTAGCAGTATTTGTTTCGAGGTCTGATTATGAGGTCAATTTCGGTGTCTACTTGTGTTGAGCAGGGAACGGAGATAAAAAATGACAAGGATAAGTCCTGAAATTGAAGAGAAAATGGAGATAGAATCAGTTCTGGCTGTTTCATCTGATGTGAGCTTTGCATCTCATTGTTTTCCAAAATATAAAATAGGACCTGAGAATCAGATTTTAGAGGAGCCAAAAGAGGATAACAAGGGTCCATCTCTGAAGGAGGTTGTTGAAAGGGAAACTGTCCAATTATCTGAGCAGCACAAACGGCTATCAGTTCGTGACCTTGCTAGTAAATTTGACAAGAACTTAGCTGCTGCGGCTAAGTTGGCTGATGAGGTTCTCTCCTAGTTACACTTCTACTTTTTATATTATTTTAGGAGCAGACACATTCTCCTTGACTCTTAACAAGACTATTCTCAGATTGAAAATCTGCTATACAACTCACAATTTGCCATTCAACTCTCTATTTTGGTCCTTTGAGTGCGTGAATGGAAGCCATCATGCAGTTTATGAAGATTTTTGTCCCATTTTCTTTTGGTTCTTTGTTACTCTTTTGTTCTCTTGTGTGAAAAGTATATATCTAATATGTGATTTAGTGAAAATTAATAATTTAATCAATGTACTCATATACTAATTTGCGTTTGATTTTAGGCAAAACTTAGAGAGGCGGCTTCTTTGGAGGGACATGTCCTTTTGAAAAAACTGAGAGATGCCTTGGAAGCTCTCAGAGGTCAGATGGCAGGCCAAAACAAGGACGATGTAGAGAAGGCTATCTCCATGGTTAGTTTTTTGCATAATTTTTTCTTATCCAGGACTTTTCCGTTGAACTGTAGTCTATATCATCCAGTAACACTAAAACTTATAATTAATTAGGTTCATATCAATTCATTTTCTTAAATAGTTCAGTGCTACAGTGTTTCAAATATTTTCTTTTCTTTCCTTTTTATTTAGTTTAATTGTTGTATATATAATACCTACTTGAGCAATATGGCTAAGGAAGAAACCATGAACATTTGATTTCCTCTTTTCTTTATGTCCATTATACATTGGGTAAGAAGCAATGGCTAAAATCAACAATGTGAGTTAGTACCTTATCTTCTTTACTATTTTGTAAGGTTATATATATAGGTTTCTGCCCTCCAATCTATTTTTTTTGATCCATATAAAGTGTTTCCTTAGTAAATAACTTAGTGAAAGAAAACATGACATATATCTTTTTTCTTGATAAAAGAAAACATGGAGAAGTTTATGTCACATATCACATATATGAATTTCAAAAATGGATCATTGTTTGCCACCTTGGCTCAGTATTTTTCTCTGTTCTTTCTGGTATGATTTATGTTTTTCAAGCAATATTATCAAAGTTTTTTATCATTAAAGTGAAACCAATATTTGGTGCCTGGTTAAGATAAAAAAAAAAAAAAGAATGTTTGGTGCCTGGTTATGCATACTAGTTTGTGACTTTGTGTATTACTCATGCAAACTAATTTACTTAAGGAAATTTCTCATGGATTATCCATAATTCATTGCATTTGCTAACATACAGCATCCCTTTTGTTTCTGTAATAATTTTTCCCTTTTCTTCCTTCTTTTAAATATCCAGGTGGAGGCCTTAGCAGTCAAATTGACCCAAAAGGAAGGAGAGTTGATTCAAGAAAAGTTTGAAGTGAAAAAACTAGCAAACTTTCTCAAACAGGTCTTTTATCTGGCTTTGGCTATTTTTGGCTTTTGGGAAAATTAATACCACTTAGAGCAAAGATGTGTCATATTTCTATGTTCCATAATCTATTTGTTTCCAGATATGCCCTTGATTCTATTAGTTTTGCCAGGTTAGTATTACCCTTATTGACTGTTTAACATTTGACATTTATGTGTGATTGTTTCTTTTATGTAAAAGACGTTCTCCTGGCAGGGCATGGTGTTTTTGTTTTTTATTTTTTATTTTTTGCCATTGGACGAAGTATTGTGATTGGTGCACTCTTATGTGGCTTTTTGTTCAAGGGTCCTATATTTTTTACTGAATTGAATGTCTTATTCATCTACAGGCATCTGAAGATGCTAAAAAGTTGGTCAATCAAGAAAGATCTTTTGCATGTGCTGAAATTGAAAGTGCGAGGGCTGTAGTGCAACGATTTGGAGAGGCCCTTGATGAGCAAGAAAGAAATACGGAAAATTCCAAGACACAGGTTGCATTTAGTTGTCTAAGTTGCTTGCCATGTTCAGATGATTTATGACATATTTTCTATTGCTATTCACTAGAGTATTTTTCAACCTTTTATTTATTATGGTTCAGAATGATATTGCTCTAAGCTTCATAAGCATTTTGTTAGGTCTATCATATTTGCAATAGGTTCATATGTACATCCAGGATGGATCCTGTGTCTCATGAGTTTAAATTTTGATTTTGAAGATTGTCTGAGTAGTTTGCTCCATGTTTGATGTTTGCAGGAGGTGGAGGGGTTAATAGAGGAGGTTCAAGAGGCTAGAAGAATTAAATTATTGCATCAGCCAACCAAGGTGCATTAACATGGTTTCTAAGTTTTGCATTATTGAACAGAAGCTTGTAGCTTTGCCAAAAAGGAAAAAAAAAAAAAGAACAAAGGTTTCTGATAATACATACAGTTGGGCATCACTGTAATTGAAGCATGTGGTTCTATTTACTGCTGTATTGTGGTTTTGTTTTCAGTAAATTTCCTGTCTCTAGCAACGCATCACTGAAGCTGGATATTTATATATGATTTAAACCATGAATTTGGCTATTTAAATTAGCATTTGTTGTTTCTAGAAACTGACATTTTATTCATTCTGGTGTGGCAAAAAAAAAAAAAAAAAAAAGAGGAATAAAAAAAAATCATCCTAGTTAATTTTTTTTTCTTTCATTTTTGGTTGTTGCATTTTGTTTCATCAGTAGTGGATGCTAAGACTTGAGGCCCAGTTTTAAAATAAAGTTTCACGCTATTTCCATTTCTTTTTACAGCAGTAAGTGGAATATTTTGGAACTGTTTTCTGCTTCAGTTTATATCTTATCTGTTTGTGTTTATTAACTATATGTAAATATGTAACTTGCATATGGAGACTGTTTTGTTTAATCTGTAGTTAGTCTGAATAGGGTCATGTTTGTATGAGAAATCCTGGGTATGCCTGGCTGTAGTTGTAGCTTTTTGAGAGGACCTGGTGGAATGAAATTAATTGTCATTTTCTCTCTCAGAAGAAGAAAAGAAATAAAAAAATATATGTAACTTGTGCAGTTAGAAGTAGATGCAGACTTTTAGTATTGAGTGTATGGCAGTAGCAACTTCTCACTTTCTTACCCATGGAAGGGCGGTATCACATCTTGCAGGTGATGGATATGGAACATGAACTTCGTGCTCTAAGAACTCTAATTCGAGAGAAGTCTATATTTTCCGTGAAGCTACAGAAAGAGGTTTGTTTAGTGTGTTTCATTTACTAATTCAAGTTCCACTAATATCAATTAAATTTGTTGTGTTTGTTAATCAATCTCTAATTCACTCCAGCTGGCAATGAGCAAGAGGGCTGAGGAGAAGAAATATTGTTTATATGTTCTTGAGGGTTCTGAAACTCTAGGTTCATGCCTAACCCTCAAGCCATGCTCTAATAATGCTCTGCAGCTTTCCAAATGTTCAATTCAATGGTATCGAGTATCATCTGATGGTGATCGAAGGGATAAAATTTTAGGTATTACTTTTTTATGGGAATTTTAGGTGTTAATTTTAGGAATGTCTTTCACAAAACATCATTTATTCATGTGAACTTTGCGGTTCTTGGTTGTTGTCTTCATAAATCATAAATTCATAAATTCGTTCTCTGCATTCTACATTCTCATGTTTCTTTCACAATGTTAACATTAGAGGCCTTATGTTCTGACTCATAAGTCATAAATTTATAAATTTGTTCTGCATTCTACATTCTCATGTTTCATTCACAATGTTAACCTTAGAGGCCTTATGTTCTGACTCCTTTCCACTATTTTTATAGTGCAAAATTGCTGCCTGATAACCTATTTATGTTCGGTTACATCTTGCTCTCTCTCTTCACTCTCTCTTCTTTTTTTGGTTCTATTTTAAGTTATCATATTTCCTTCTTGACTGTCAGGTGCCAACAAATTAACGTATGCTCCAGAACCTCTTGATGTTGGTCAAGTTTTGGAGGCTGATGTTATCTCAAATGGTCAGAAAGCCACAGTTTCGACTGCTGGTCCTATTGAATCTGGTTAGTTTATTTCAAAATGTTCAAACGTTCCTCTGACATCTTCTATATGATTCTGAATTTCACAAGTTATGAACTGGATCATCAGATTAGATTCCTAAGTATTTAATTCCTATGCATGGTAAATCCTCTATAATGCTTACCACTAAGGGAAGCCAAAAAGCCAGGCTAATAAAAATTTTTCAGCTGCAGGATTGGGAAGCTATGTGGAGACACTTTTGCGAAAATCCAGTAGTGAATTCAATGTATGTTTTCCTCTTTCCAATAGCTTATCCTATCATCTCTTCTGGTTTCCTGCAACAATTAGTATCATGGTTACCTATCAATATAGAAAATGCAATTCAGGAGAGATAGAATCAGAAATGTAAAACTTGTCTTCTTTCTGCTGAATAGAAAGAGAAAAAATAGAAGCAGTAGCGAGTATCCTTGCCTCTTCCCCCCTTTCTTTTCTGGTTGTCTTTTCCTAAACTAAGTGCATTATTCTATTTTGCATCACATTGCCAGTACCATCACCATCCACTCAATGTCAACATTTTGACTCTTTCTCACCACCTGTCACCAGCTTTGCCATTACAATCAATTCTTTGACAACCATTGTTAGTGCCTTCTGCTCGTTCCTCTGTGCTTTGTTGCACGGCATGTTACCAATGTCAAGTGGAAAGTTATGTTATTTATTGAGGAATTTCTCTTGTCAAGTACTTTATTTATTTATTTATTTTCTTTCAAGTTACATGGTTTCAGGAAGAGGATGTTTGTTTTATACGTGTGACTAAAGTCTGACATTTTATGTGTTTTAGGTTGTCATTTCCCAGATGAATGGACAAGATCATTCATCACACTCTACCCATGTTTTTAATGTGGGAAAAATGAGAATAAAACTCTGTAGGGGATGGATCACTAAGTCTAGAGAAATCTATTCCACATCTATGCAGGTACCATCCTGGATGCTCTATTCTTTTCTTGTACAGTGTTTTTTTTTTTTTCTAGAGTCCCCGTTTTTTGCTGTCTAGTGCAGAAAAGGGGACCATTGGATGGTGAAACTGCACCATATT